GTCAGACCATCCTAGAGCAAGCATGGATGAACCCGATCTCGACTAAAAAAAAAATAATAATTATTAGCCGGGCATGGCAGCACGTGTTGTGTTTAATCCCAGCATGGGAGGCTGAGGAAGGAGGATCGCCTTGAACGCTGTCAGGGCAGAGGTATGCAGGTGAGGCCGAGATCGCCTCATTGCACTCAGCGTGGTGGTTGCAGCTAGGGCTCCGTCTCTCGAAAGAAAAAAAACAAACCCACACCATCTGTAGTAGTGTATTTTCTGTAACTCTTTTCTATTTTTATTTTGAGAGGGAGTCTGGCTCTGCCGCTCGCAGGCCTAGAGTGCAGGTGCGCGATCTCGAGTCACTGCAACTCCTCGCAACTTGTCCCGAGGGTCAAGCGGGATTCTCCAGCTCAGGTTCCCCGCAGCCGGGTACAGCTGGGTTACAGGCGTGTGCCCGCACCAATGCCTACTCTGTTAAAGTCGATTGCTCGCAAGAAAAAAAACAACCAACTCGGTACAAACTGTCGGGTTCGGTCCTGACCTCGTGATCTGCCCGCCTCGGCCTCCCAAAATGCTGGGATTACAGGCTTGAGCTACCGCACCTAGCCAGGACTGGGACTTATGTAGGGAAAGGAAGGAGTTAAGGAGGACACCTAGGTTTCAGGATAGAACAACTATTTGGTTAAGGGTACTGTTTGCTAAGTTAGTGAACATAACACCAGAAGAGTTCTAGAGAAGGAGAGGGTTTTGTGAAAGGTTCAGTATTGGGCATGTGTGCTGCCTGTGGGTTGGCCATGGAGAGTCTGGCAGATGGATAAGACTAAAGCTCAGGAATGAGTTCTCAGCTAAAGAGCTACTCAGGAGGCTGAGGCCGGAGAATCGCTTTAACCTGGGAGGCGGGGGTTGCAGTGAGCCGAGATCGCGCCACTGCACTCCAGCCTGGGCGACAGAGCTAGGTTTCGTCTTAAAAAAAAAAAAAAAAGTCAGAGAAAAGAGACAGCGGTATCGGGAGTTGGGATGGTGCACCGAGGCGCCTCGCAGTCTCCAGGGTGCGAGGTGGTAAGCAGCGAGAAGGAGCTGGAGGTGGCGACGAGACCCGCCCACCGGTGACGTCACCGAGGGCCCCCCCCCCAACGAGCATCCGCACCTCCCGGAGGCGGAGCTCCGGCGCATCATGGCGGCTGGCGGGGCTCAGGCCTCTTCCTCTGTGAGTGCTGCTATTCGTCCCTTGTTCCTTTTTTCTTGTTTGTCACAGATATTCTTTTTCTTCCTATTTCCTCTGCCTTGTCTCTGTGGGCTCGCTGGCCGCGTCCGGACCATGGGTGAGGGGGTTGTGAGTCGGTCGGCTCCTACCTCTTACTGGTTCTGCGAATGTTTATTCCCTCATTCACGCGGCGCCCACTGTGAGCCTTAAACTGGCCTCCGTGCACTCTCTAGGGTTTAAGCCCGGTGGGAAACCAGGAGCAGGTTAATGGGGTAACTGTGGGGCTGTGGGTTCCTGGAGAAGACCCTTGACGGAGCTGTAGGGGAAAAGGGCAATCATAATAAGAAAAAGCGTCTGAGACCCGAGGTGCGTGTAGAAGGCAAAAAGCGCCAAAAGGGGCCGGGTGTGGTGGCACACGCCTATAATCCCGGCACTTTGGGAGGCCGAGGCGGGCGAATCACTTGAGGTCAGGAGTTGGCGACCAGCCTGACCAACATGGTGAAACCTAGGCTAGAGTGCAGTGGCACCATCACTGCTCACTGCAGCCTCAACCTCCCTGGGCTCAAGCATCCTCCCACCTCAGACTCCAAAGTAGCTGGGACTACTGGCTGTGCTACCACGCCCAGCTAACCCGGCTAATTTTTGGAATTGTTTTAGACTTTCACCATGTTGCCCAGGCTGGTCTCAACCTGCAGGCTAGGTGGATCCCTGGTCACTCAGCCTCCCGAGGA